AAATCATAATATAATTTTGTAATGCATAATCTAGAGAGATGTTTAATGTGTGTACTGTATGACGTAGTGGTTACAACTGAGCTAAGAGATAAATTGATATTGCACTATTTATTCTTGCATTTTTATATTAAACCATGGCCTAATTGTAACTGATCTGATAACTATGAGAACAGAAAATTTACCTTTTAATACTCAGCCACAGTCAAACTTTTACAGAGAAATGACCATACAATGTTAGTGAGGATATGGTCTTGTAAAGGAAATCATAAACTCTTTAACGGTAGAAATTAACTTGTCAGGTTATCAGTACTGTGGTTCAGGTACTAAACTTACAAAACGCCTCGCTAGAGGTAATCTTAGAGTAATTCTTCTGGATATAGCGTGTAAGAGCATGATATACCTTACTCAAGAAATCAATACGATCTTGAGACTTGAAACAAGGCAAATAAAATTTTAGCTGCAAGAGCTTAGCTAAAAGTTAATGCTTTAGTTTCAAGTGTTGGTGAAAAAACTGCTGCTATTCTGGTAACAAGTGCAATAAAGCTTAAGAATTAATTAGGTATGGGTTAGGAACAGAAAAAGAAGAAATTCAAAAAAAATATGCGTATAAATAGAAATTTGAAAATTACTATAAACAAAGCTATTAGGGCTGCCTCACATCAAATAAATACTAAGAGCAAAAATGCTTATAAAGTGATGAGTAGTGCTTTAGAAGGTGCTCGCAGTACAGTTAAAAAGTGTGGTGGTAAAAAAAGTATTAAAATTCTTTGTATTTTACGCCTTCCTGCCCGAATCGATAGTGCTTTACCTCTGATTTCTTCATTTGCCAGCTTAAGTGCAACTGGCACTTTGGCAAATGATATTGCAGGACTTCTAAAGAGCGTTAGCACGGCTAAGTCGGTATAAAAACAACGAGAAGAAAATCAAAGACATAATAAAACTACAGAAGTTTTGGCATTAGGAACAGGTCTCTATTTTAAGCTTCATAAAACTGGATGAGGAGTATATTTACAACCGTTTGGTAAAGGTCTCCAAAAAAAAAAAAAAAAATGTCGTCAAACGTAAAATTACCTCAGTGAGCTTGAACAAATGTGGATTTAATAAGGTTTTCTAAGATCACATAAATTTTTTTTTATGTCGAATATTAAATCAAACTTACTTACAAAGTCATTGGCCATGGAATTGTCCAACTGCTATGGTAAATCTTAACTATAAGAATTGACCCGGAACTCATTGGGTGACATATCAACAATTTGGCTGGAATATTGTTTATTACAGTTGATTATAACAGTTTTAAAGATTTGCAACCACATTTTGATTTAGTGTTATATTGAGGTGTTGATACAGTTGAGTATAATCACAAACGATATCAAAAATTTAACTCTTACAACGGTGGTCATTTGTGCTTAAAGTTTTTATGTAAACATATATAAGCACTCAAAACATTAAAAAAAGCATAGTTTTACATTGATGGTCATGGAAGAAGCATGAACACAAAGCTTGTCTGGTACTTCTTTTACCCAAGAGGTTCAATATTTCTTACCTATTAAGTTATCACCAAAACACAAGCATGTTCTTAGATTAGTAGAACTCCTAACATTCAGTTTCATTCCTTATATTGCCGTAAATAACAGTTAATTTTAGGTAGGTGATCAAGTGATAGTAATTCTAACTGGCATTATAAAATTTAGGATATAAAGTCATTCTTAGCCAATGTGTTACAACTGAGAGATATAAGTATCAGAATAAAGCAAAATACTGTTACGCTTTGTAGTGTTATTTAGTGTAGTCATGCTATCGATTTCAGAAAAAAAGATTTGACAGGGCGACTACTGGGTTTTATTGAAAAAGTACTGCAAAATTTATTGTCTTATGATTCTGACTTACCTAAGGTAAAGAAGCCAGTAGTTGGACAGAAATAAAAATAGCACTATTAGTTGGACAGTCTAATATATTTGTATTCTTGAGTAGAAGCCGTTTTTACATAGGAAAAAAAAATTTATTCATAATCTTTGAATGCATAATAATGCATAATAAACAAAATTATCTTCAAGAGTTTTTTTTATTTTTAAGTTAAAAGATATGTTCTAAATACCAAGCATGCAAGCTTGCTGTCTAGTAATAGATCCCTTCAGTAAAATAGAAGTGTTCCTATACTTAGTACTTGGGCACGGAAAAAATCGCTAATAATTATATTTCATAGTTAAGCATAGAACGTTCAAGTTATTTTCTAACTAAAGTTACGTTTAAAAATGGGTGTTATTATAATTTTTATTGATGTTTATTAGAGTTAAATACATCAAAAAATATAAATAACTCTGTCCAAGAGTAGCTTTCATCCGATAACATAAGATTTTTCATATACCTGGTACTTGGACAGTAAAAATCACTTCAAATTATTGATCACTACTAAATATAATATGGTTATGCTACTGTTGAAAACCAAAGTGAAGTTGAATAATGACCAGAAACTATACCATGTAGTAAAAAAGATTATAATCATTAAGTAGTTAAGAGATGTGAGATAGCATTTTAGAATTAGATCCACCCTAACCTCCCTTCAATTAAATTAACATTGGGTATCCAACTACCGATCCCAAGTCTCATGTTGGTCCCAGTACCTGGATACTGTTGTCCAGACAATGAGTCTTGATGATTTTTCTTTTATAATAATTTTTTCTTCGTTTATTAAGCTGACATTGTTAAATTTTTTTTTTTAATAAGTAAGAAAAAATCTAAAATAATTAATGCAATGTCTTTTTGAACATCATTTTTTGTTAGAATTTTATAAATTAGCAAAGTAAGTTTCGTCTGTCAAAAGTGTCCCACTACTGGGTACTTTACCTGATATCTATTTTAAAAATAAATGCATTACGAGTTGAGTGCAGTATCACTAGTGAAGCCTGTGTAAATGGAAAAAAAGTTTATACAGTTCAAAAACTTTTTTCTGCGGCACCACCACGAAATAAAAGTATTGAAGTTACATCATCAGTTATCTACTTACCTGTCATTGATAGAGTCGTAGATCACTTACAACTACGCGTAGTTGATCAAGATAATAATTTAATTAATTTTTACACAAAAGTCATAACGATAAGATTACAAATTCAACCTTTGTCGTACTATTTGTAATCAGAATAGTATAAAAATTGCTTAATACGTTCTATTCCGCTTAGTTAGCAGCAAGCTTTCAAATTGTCAAGACGTTAGAAAGGATAATGAAAGCGTCAAAAATTAACAACCCAAAACATACAGTTTCTTTAAACTCGTGGGTTAAAAATCAGAGGTGTGAACTAAGTTCCAAATTTTTGAGCTTAAAGTTAAATGAAATTTTAAGCATTTAGTCTTCTGTTACATTTGATGAGTCTATCTCGTACTATGAAATTCTTGCTTATTAACCACATGCATCATCAACATATAATAATAGTGATGAAATTCGTACATTAACTCAACATCAAGACCTAGTCCTGCTAACATCCCGCAGTTCTTTACTCACATATTCACGGAAGACAATTCAAAGCAGGTAAAAGTACAATTGTATTTCCCCCCCTTTTTTCCTTTTTTTTCTTATTTCAGATATTTTATAATGAATAAAATTTAATNTGCGACATCTAATGATTAATATTTAAATAATAATTTAAAGTATAGTGATATGAATTTTTCGTATTCATTATCTTTTATTTTAGTATTGACGTGAACTGGTACGAGCATTGCATGTGTGGAGCATGTCGATACGTCCTAACTATTTTTCATCGTTATCAAAACACTAGTAGAATCAATTTAAACAAGATAATTTAATTTTATTTTTTTTTTAAGCTGAAGTAACGGTCTCTTTATAGTAGCAAGCCCCTTATATTTTTATTGATTATTTTTTTTGAATTTGGACTAGGCAATCCATGTTGGACGGACTGTGTCTCCACGCAACCGTTTCTACGGTCAGAGAACTTAGCGTACATGGCAAATTGCAGCTGAGTAAAAAATGGTGTCACTGACACAGTTTTACTAAAATGATGACTATATACGGTAATGTGGAGATATTTTTGCGTGTCAATAATTTTATCATGCTGATGTTAGGAGATCATGGATACTACATTTTTTTCAATCCCACGCCTTTTTTCTATTAGCTACATTACACCGTTTATGCTGAGTTTGCGGGCCAGAGGGACTTTAGTTGTAAGTATTCTTATCTTTACCTGCAGATACGGGTATTACAATAGGTTCATTTTTCTACCACGGATGTAAAGAAAAAATTTATGAGTGATGTTATTTAACTATAATAAATCGATACGATTAAATACATATGCTTAGTCAGCTTCCGACTCTTAGACAGTATTCAATTTGATGTAATGACCGATCATTTTATCACTTCTGGCAGCTCTGGGTTGTGGAGGCTTTCAAGATGCCAGAACTTAGTCACTTAAAAGCTCTTTTAACTCACTCCACACAGTACAGAAGCAGTAGTAAGATCCACAGCACCCATAGCTGTATATATATTTGTACACGATTTGCTTTTATGGCAATAGAGTTCAGTGGGAGAAGCACATCTGTCTTTTAAAACTCATGTTTGTTTTCCAGGTCACTACTGGCCAATAAACGTTGTATTAAAAGCTTTGCTTGAGAAACCCTTTAAAAATTCTCATACATGCAGTTTGTATCTATTTGCTTTGTGAAAATTTCATAAGTGTTTTTGGCACAATCAACATTAAACAAATTTTTTAGGCTTCGTTCTCTCATAAATGTACTTTTCTAAGTTTAAGATGTATTTTTCTTTTTTTTTGGTGTTAATTCTTCACTAAATCATGTTTGACATCATGTCATATTTACTTAGAAAGAAATACTGCACCTGTACCTTTATTTCTATAAATCCATAGTTAAAAAACCTACCTTTAATGCCAAGCTTACAATAGGAATTAATCTTTGTTTGAGACACGCATAATAATTTATACATACATTATGATTTATCTACAGTTAAATTTTGCATGAATAACATTAATACTTACTAATTTTACAATATTATGAGATTGTTTTAAAGTATTGGCTGCTGTTAAATGAGTTACATTGACAAGAGACGTCTCATTCACTTTCTCTATTATATCGTGTACTTGTAATTGGCCATCAAAAGCTGCTGCACCACCAAGAATAATTTTCGTAACATATATAAAGTTATCTTCAGGAAAATGTTGACTATCGGTACCACCAGCTATACTAAAACCGAATCCTGTTTTTCCTCTAGCAAGAGTTATTTGCTTTTTTTCCCAGACATCTTTAACTTCTTCCTAAAATGATGATAATTTATATATCAGTGTAATTGAAATATATTAAATATTTTTCAATATTCAAAAGTAAAAACTAATAAACTATATTTAAACTCCTAGTTTTATTCATATTAATAGTAAACTGTGTCTGTTAAGCATCATAGATTTATGAGCTCATTATTCGTATGATATTTGTAACCTACAAAAAGCTGGTCCTGCTTAGATATTTCTTTTATCAGCTATTTTCAATACACCTCCAAATATAATGTGTTGCCTACTTGTTAACTGAATTTTTTAGAGAAAAAGATTATTGAATGACGATGAACATAAATAAAGGGATAACTTTAATTCATAATAAGGACGGTTTATTTTGAAAATCAATAAATATTCGACAGAAGTAAGGATATTTATTTTTTTTAATCAAGAAAAAAAAAGTGTTAGTAGTTTAAACGTTATCTTCAAGTTAAGTCTAAATCAATAAAAACATGGTAAGTTAGTTTGCTTTGTGGTTTGAGCTAACGGCATACTACAGTCTCTGGTTATCACTCTGAGCAACAATCTTCTAGTGATGCGTATGTGATACTGTACTAAGGGAAAAAAATGCACAAGTCTCTTGATTGTTTTGCATTAGCTCTCACTTTTAGGATTATTTAACGACTGCTTGAATAACATTTTCGACAACTCAAATCTTTTTTTGATAGTTCCATAACCTAACACTGTAGTTGCATCTGCAGATCATAAGCAAATATCATAGCCTCATAATAACAAAAAACTTTAAACTGAGCTTATAAAAAGTCAAAACAATGGAGAACTAGGCAAATATCCCAGGGGAGCCCCTAAAATATACGGCACATCTGCAGTCAATCCACCATCCACGTTGTGTATGCTGAAGATCAAGTCTTATGTAAAATAATGCAGTTATCTGACAGCCTTTACCAAGAAGTGAAGATCTAAAAGAGTTTTGTATGGAATGACATAACATACTTTGTTAAAGACACGTTTAAAATTTTAAAATGATCAGTACTTTGAATAACTCCTTTTCATAGAAAGTCAAAAGTCATCTGTTACTTTCAGCAGCTCCGTCTTGATACTACGCTCGTACCAAAAAGCAAACTACCAGTGTGTTATAAGTAAAGATTTCTCACGGTTCTTGCAGATTTGGCCAGTTATGATGTGGTTTGAGACCTTAACAAGGTAGAGTAAATTTACTATGTTTAAGTCTACTCTAGATGTACGCAAAAAACTAGGCCATTGCCATCCTTACCTGCACCTTATCCCCTGAAAAAAATACAAACTTAAGGTCATAGAGATATCACATTGCAGAATTTCCCTTTATTTGATTAGAGTACATGTAGTATACGTGTTAGAGACAACCTTAGCAGTTTTCTTGACAGTTAGTGTGGCTGTCTACATCCTGCGAACAGATAAATGTCTCCAGATCTGGGTGCCAATGAACAAAGCATAGTACGTTGTTAACACTTGATATGGAAGCTACAATGAATCCAAGGTACTAGTAATACTTACAGCTATTTTATTTGCAAGGTGTCAGTTTGTCTAAGAAGCAGTGAATTAGTTCTTGGAGTAATCCGCACATTATTTGAAATCAGCAAACCAGCATTGATCCAACGAGTGACTAAGTTTGTTACTCATACAGCTGGTCGAGAAATTTCTGTGGTCGTAAGACATTGTAGCCCAATCCTTCCTGCTAAAGGTTTCATGTATGTTTAACATACTGCCATCTGATATACTAGACTCGTTGCTTCTTTCTACTTGTTTTTTTTTTTAATAATGTATTTCAGTATTATAAACATAATCTTTCAGACACAGTGTCTGACTGACATCCTTTGTAATTGCATTTATTGAATCATTTTGTATAAATATATCTTTAAGACTTTTACAGCTTGATACCAAAACTTTGATCTAGTGATTTGTTGATTATCATGGAAAAAGCTAGAAGTATTAAAAACTGTTTTTTGTATGTAATAAATAGGGAAAATATAATTACCAGTATTTACCGTGATTCTTAGAATAAAAACTTTATTACTAGATTTTTCACAAGTTATTCTTTCTGCTTCTTGATAGTAGTTAAATAACTTTTTTATACGTTGTGAAGTCCTGTTGCACAATCCATTAAGTCTACTCAAGTTCCTTATCAACATAACTCTAGCGTTTACTGTAAAATTAAAAATGTAGCTGTAATCCTTCATGTATATAATTTAAAGGTTATATAGAAAAACTTACGCTCACATTTTCTAATCAGTGCTATCACTACCTTAATATTTTGCGTAATTTATGCTGTAATAAATATGTTCTATTTTTTTAGTCAAACTCAAAATCTTATTACTATTTGAAATGTTCGAAAGTTGGATATAAGTTATAAGAACTATCTTGTACAGGCTATTCATACCATCTTTATAAATTTTTTTAAAAACATTATCAGTTTTCCATTTTAAGGGAATTTCCAAAGACTTTATTGTTCCGTTTCCAATGTCCATATGTAATAACAAAAATTTTTTACCCGTACAAGTCATATTGCTTTTCAATTTTATAATTCTATAGTGTTTTCATAGAAATAAATAAATTTTACTAGATATAGAGCTTTAAGACTCATCAATTATTACGTTATCAAAAATTCACCTCCTAAAATGAAAACTTTCTCATCAAATAGAATATTGTTATCACATAAGTATTTTAAAGTTTTAATTACTATTGCTAAAGCTTTTCAGGGATTATTTAAGCTTCGTCCAAAATATTTAAGTTTTCTTCTCGTAATTTTTTTTAAATCAGCTTTGTATTTTAAGAAAAACGTCAAACGTTCTTTACATCTAATGGTTCTCATAATGTCCTATGACTTGTCATCTTTGTAGGTAATAAAGTTAAAGCAATTCTGGTCAAAACAAAAATGAAAATTAATGTTTAGTATACAAATGTTTTTCCAGAATCTCCTGGACTATCGCTAAAATATAATTTTGTATCCCTGTTAATATTTCCATTTTTTTTTTTTTAATTACTTTTTAAATTAGCAAATATATCCATCAAATTTGATTCTGAATCGATTATAGTTTTATTGTCATTAATATTCTTGGATTTAACTGTTTCATTTTTTTCGGTTATTTATGATCTTCACATAAATTTTCATCAAGTTTGAAGACTTCATTCAAATATAATAAAGCATCATTTTGGTTATCGTCTTTTGAATTATCAATAAAAAATTTTAGGAGTAATTCCCAAATTGACTTACCACAAACGTCTGCATATATTAAAAACCATGTAAAAAGTTTTCTTAGTTGATATGTCAGCATAACGTTACAAGCTTCTTTGGAAATTTTATATATTTTAAAGTTGTGTTTAACTTTAACTTAAACAATAGCAGTATATTTAAACGTACTGTAATAAGTGTTATCAACTGTGTTCAATTTTTTAAAAGATTAGGCTTCACTTGCCCGATTAAAAACCGATTGAAAATTAATAAAAAAAAAAGAAATGCTTAGAGTTCTTACGTGACACTATATTTAGTCACCCTATTGTTATGTTATGTCTAATTCTTTAATTTCTTACCCAAGTTTGTACTGCTAAATTAAAACAGTTATATTCTAAAATATTTACGTATCTAATTATTTTGTGAAACTATCTATTTAATTAAATACAAACCAAGCCGATAAGGCTGTTTCAGAGTTTTTTATTACTTTAACTATATTATTTTGGTCAAAAACTTTTTTTTGTATATTTCTAACATGTACTGAAAAATAAGATAGAGAATAACTACGTTCACACAGAAGAAACTCTTGCAATCGCCCTGCTGCTTCGATTGGGCTCGAATAGTGACCGTACATACTCTAATATTTCATCAAATATTTTTACACCGTCTTTTTCATCACTTATACCTGTTTCCATTACTTTATGTTATGTTTTATCTTCTTCTTCATAAACATAATGACAAATATAACTTATACTTTTAATAGATATACAATACTTAGCATTTATTTAGCAATAATATTTCATTAATAAGAATGGATTTTATGGTTATACCATTAAGTTATCAACTGAAATTTTTTCATTGCTCCTTTTGATTCTATTTATGTAATTATCGCATCTATTGTCACTTCTTTTCTAATTTTAGTATCCATTTTTTGTAAATTCGGTATAATTAGTGAAATTTTTTGGAAATTTTTTTGTACTAATTTTTTAATAACTAGTAACACAGATTGTCTTAACTGTAAGGTCCATAAAGCATGTGTTTAATAACTTACTTTTGTATTTGTTAATCAAGTTAGATTCCCAGTGAACTATATCTATCTAAGTATGTAGTTGTGAATATATGTGATGTAATTTTACAATAATATAAGAATGAGGTAGTCCTCTTTTCTTAATTTTAATGGTATAAACGTGAGTAATAACTGTTCCAATAACATTATGTTTTGTTATATCGTCTAAAATAAATTTTAATCTTATGCAAAATAATCTAACACTTATATTTGGTACATCATTGGGAGTGGTACCTTTAAAAAAGTTCTTAAAAATTTGCTTAATTTATTTTCATTCAGGGTTGAATTTAACGGTGAAAAAAAAATCAGTTCGTCTAAGTTTTCGGATTATGGTCATTCCATCTTTATAGTGTTTATGCATATACTTATTACCACCGATGTATGTTAAAGGTGAAATAAAAATATTTCGAACTTTGTTGTTTTAAAAATTTTTAGAGTTATATAAGGCACAACGCATTAGGTGATCTGACGATCCTTAACAACATTCCTTCCTTAAAAATTTTTTGGTTATTGCGAAAAAAAATTATTTCATTGCTTTCTATCACAATATATGCATGCAAAAAAAATTATTGCATTAGTCTTCCAGCATAGAGTATGTGACTAAAAATTTTACTATTGGGTCGAAAAGAATTTCGATATAAGTAATATTGAAGCAACGTAAATTTTTTTCCAGCGTTTGAACTTAATTCTACATCTTTTACTGAAAGTTATATAGAAAACACCTTTGGATCGACATTTGGCATAATGCATTTGGTA